CCCCTCCTGCGGACAGGCAGACTGAGGGCCAGGCGCGCTGACGGAAAGACGCAGCGTCTGCGAACCGAGCCAGCATCTCATCGTACCGACTGCCGTCACCCCTGAAGGGCCTGGCACCTGGGCCCGGGACCCCTCGCCCTGCCCAGGCCTTCTCGCGCCCCCGGTTACCCGGGAGGCTGTTAAAGCGCAGATTCCGAACCAGCAGGGCTGGGAGGCGCCTGAGCCCACATTTTTGACCGTCCCCGGGCGATGCGGTGCTTCCCGCGGGGACCCTCTGACTGGCCAGGCTCCCGCTTCTGCTGTTCCCGGGGTGGCCGCCCCACAGGTGCACCGAGTGTGAGAGGCCACGGGTTCCGAACACTTAGCAGGAGGAGACGATGTAAAATCTCTGTGATAACTTTCTGTGTGAATCACATGTGGAGGTGACCATGCTGTGGCTGTACTGGGTGAAATAAAATGTGTTTGAGAATGTATTTCCCCGCATCTTTTTGCTACTGAGTCCCGGGGCAGGACAGCTGAGCGGGAGGCCGGCAGGCCCATGGGGGGGAGGGTCCACCCGGCGGGGGCACTAGGTGAGGTCTGGAGGCATCGCGGGAGGTCATGTCCAGGGCGCTGCTGCCCGAGGTGCCGCTAAGCATTCGAGACGCAGAAGACAGCCCCGAGCAGCCGGGAGGGACCCAGCCCCAGGGTCGTGCCCAGGTGGCAGAATGCTGCTCTGGGACCATCCCTGCTGGCACCTGAGCCCCAGGAGACCAGGGGTCGCCTGCCCGTGGCTCCCAGCCCAGGGCCTGGGATGGGGTGGGCACAGCGAGTGTCTGTCTCCACTGAGCCAGCCGGGCGGTGTGGGTCCTCCGTGCAGATCAGCACAGGCCCCAGCGGGGGCCACAGAGTCAGGCGCGAAGCAGCTCCGCCCTGGACAGGCCGGGGCAAGGCAGCCTCGTGTCTTGGCTGCAGCCCGGCCCAGCTGCTCGGGCACTACCGGGCGCAGGGCTGGGAACCGTCCCTCCCGAGGGCCTGCCTGGCCCCCACCCGGCCCTGCCCCGCCAGGCCCGCCCAGCCGGCCACCTTGCCAGCCAGTGACTTTATTTACCTCCTGTGGCGGCTCCGCAGGGCTGGCTCCGGCCCACCCGGCTGCCTCCCCTCATGGCCCAGCCCTGCGGAAGCCCAGGTTCGGTTTCTAAGGAACAGCCTTCTGGTGGGTGGGGAGGGGGAGGCCGGAACCAGGTGGGTCCCCCAGGGTGTGCGAGCGGACTCACGGCTCTTGTGTAGAAAACCCTTGCATCTTCCGAGGAAGCCTGGACCTGGGCCTGCTCCCTGCGCCGGCACTCCCTGGGGTGGGCCTCCTGCCCGAGTCTGGGTTTGACAGCCCTGCCTGCCCCACCTTCCCCCCCCGGGATAAAAAACAGGTTGATAGGCAGATTAGGAGTCCTCGAGCTTTTTTTAACGGTCCTGTACCGTAAAGTTATGATATGAATACGGTTTACCTACTTCTTTTATATTATCTTCATGATTTTAATTGACAATCTTATCAATAAGACCTGTTCAAATCAATTTAGTACAACCAAGGACATTGGGATGGCGGCTGGGCGGGGGAGGTATCAAAAAGGATTTCTTATCCACCGATAACGATCTAAAGCTCCCACCATAGTAAAGAACATAGCATGATGATGTTATTTTTGTTTCGGTTCGGCCCTAGTGGGATC